GACAGGTGTTGAAGAAGAGAGAGAAACAGACCACCTTGGGCATGTTTTTCAAGAAGCCAGCAGGCAAAAAACAAAGGATGGAACAAGAGGAGCTAACCCTGCAAGCTCCGGTAGCATCTCCTGAATCTGACTCCAATTAAAAAACAATAAAAAGAAACCTGCTGCAATGTATCTGTATCTGTATGAATGTGTGAAGAAAGTGTTCCTCCACCTCCTCCTCACAACATCTGACTACCCAGCATAATTGGTGACTGCTCCATTTTCATTTTTTTAATGGTACAGTATGGTTATTTTATGCTGTGGAACAAATTATATGTTTAAACATGTATTTCTATGGGAAAATGCATTTTGTATAACGGACTTTTCACTTAACGGACATGCACCTGGAACGGATTAAGTATGTTATACGAGGCACCACTGTAACTGAAAACAAAAGGCAATATTACTCTTTTAAGTTTAATAACCAGATAAGTTTATAATTTAACTGATAAATTTACAATTGTCTAAAATGAATAGCTAAGAATGGAAATCAAACTTATAACTCCTAAGTATTATATTGCTACTATATGTTACTATGCACCAAGCTAAATTCCTTCCAGACTATTACTAATCACAATGTTGAACTGATGATATATTTCAAAATATTTGGACTTTAAGATATTACACATTGTATACATACTTGTTATTGCATTCACACAGCCTTCTAACTTGAGAACAACTTGTAATTCTTTTGATAACCATTCAACAATTCTTGTAAATTCAACACTCTTAGGACCTTCTTGTATTGCTTTTGTAAAACCATTAGGATCCAATGAACCTGGATAACTAAAATTATAATTTAAGATTAGGTAAACAATAGATTGTAAATAGGTAAACAATAAATTGTAATAAACTTATGTAACATCCTATATATAATTTCAAAAAATAAACACTAGAGTCAAAATTTAAAAGTTATAAGTTTCATTTCTTAAAATTTAGTATATTTTTTTTACTTTTTGTTTTACATTATTAATTTATTCCTATATTGAAATATATAAAACAAGTTAAATAATAATTATAAAATATAATGAAAGTAAAGATATTTTGTTTTGACTTTTGACTAAGATCTTCACTCTTTGTTAATCAAAACTATACCAGTATAATAAGTTCTATTAATAAGCAAGATCCAAGTAGACAGTATATACACAGAAATGTAAAACAGTAAGGACATAGAGGTAAAAAGAAATAAGGAGATGGACACTTAAAATCAATATAATACTGGTAAAAGCTGCTGAAATTAGAGTTTTTCCTCATTAATTTTAATATCAAAAATAAAATAAAAATTATTAAAAAAATGCTCTTTCTGATAACGTATGTACTTATATAAAAGAATTATCTTAATCTAATCAAATAGAACAATTTATGTTTGACTGATGAGATGAATGACAACTTGTCTTAGTTTATCTATATAAAATGGATTGAAAGCAATGCAATAAGCTGAAGAAATGATAAAAGAAAGCAAAAGATTAGAACTAATGAGCATCACAGCTTTAATAGCACACACTAAAGTTTTTGGTCATCTTAAATAAGTCGTTCTCAAAGTCATCAATCCACAAACCATATCACAGACAAATTATGAACCACCTCTCTTCAAGTTATGTAGTCCACATTATCTAATTGTGAATTACATATCCTGAGGAGAGGACATGTAAAGTGATACAGGATAAGAAGTGGACAGGTTGCCAATTCCATCTATGATGATCAAAACAGATCATCATATATGGAATATATATTTATAAAATACACATTATTTCTTACGCATTTCATATACAATGTTTTATTTTGTAGTTTGATTCACATGATGATGGTAATTTAAAAATTATTGAAAACATTAGTTTGTGTGGTATTAAAGTTGCATGTTTGTTGCTGGAAGTTAAAGGTGTGTGAATATATTTTGAAAGAAGATTGCCATTATATTATATATAAACATAGCTTTTAAGATTGAATTATTTAAAGATTCCATCTTAAAAACTAAATAAATAAGTATAGATTCATTTACTTTTAAAAATAGTTTATTAGTAACAAGCAATTATTTATTGTGACATTGTCACAATGCCAAACTGCAATTTTAAATCATATTTTTTAAATTAATATAAAAATTAAAATATAGGCTCTCCACCTCAAATTAGTAGTATCTTGCCCCTGTACATCATACTTTTCCTGTTAGCAAATAGAGTCATGCCAGTCATCTAACTTCTTTCAGAGGAAAATTTTAAATTGAAATAACATGACTTCCGGTTTGTGTCAGAAGTTTGTATATAGTTAACCGGGGCCTCCTGCTCCTAATCTTTCTATATCAGGTCTCAGCTTTTGTCTATCTAACTCTGTTCTTGAGATTAAGGAAAAATGGATGGACAGACGACAGTGGGAATTTATAGGTCTACAATTTTTTCAAATTGTAGCATGTATAGCATGTATAAAAATATTGTATGAAAAAATTAAATAGCATTTATAATAACTTATTTTATTCTATATTCTGATCAACTAAAATAAATATTGATGTATTTCAATAATAGCTATCATCATTATTATGTTGCTAAATTAATTACAATTAAGTTATATTTCCTTGTAGATATCAAGTTGTGCAAGATGAAAGCAATTTAATTTTTTTACTTGATAAAAATATATGTCAGAATTTTATAAAAATGTGTCTACATATATTTTTATATTCATCTGTTTTATTATAAATAGTCATTAAGAAAACACAACAAAATTATTACATTAAAAGTCATTAAATATAGTAAACAGGAAATTAAATATTTATATATAATCTGTTTAAATAGTAGATAATTTAATCAGCAACCTCATTTATCAATTTTTGCATTTATAAGCACTTTGTTACAATTTTAATACAGTAATACCTCGACTTACGCTACCCCGGAGTTACACGATTTTCAAATCTCGTTGATTCGTCTTTTGTTTGAGCGCTATGCAACTCTTGATTACTCACTCCCCCCACACTATTGTTCAGCTTATATGTTTGGACGTGTCACGCGGAATCGACACATAAATAATGCAAAATAAATTGTAGCTATTTCTGTGTTTGTTATATCTACGGAGACTTGAGAGACTCTATGTGGTGATTTCTTGCAACCGTGAACAAATCAAAAGATGAGATAAGATTAATGAAAACATTTATTAGCTTACATACATCAGACTTGGATTTTACACAAATTGCGAAATTATACCCAGACTTACGCGAATTCGACTTATGCGGTTATCGCTCGGTCCCACCTATCGTGTAAGTTCGGGGTATTACTGTACTATAAATCATAATGTTAGATCTAATGAAATATTTTTTAAACGAGTAATGATAATGGACTCTAAATGCTTTTACTCTAACTTTTGTAATTCTGATAAAAGAAATTATTGCTATATTTTTTTATTAAAAACTAAGACTGATTATCATTGATCAATTGAATGATGACTATCAAGCAATTCATTCATAATTTCATCAATTTCATCTAAGCTAAAAAATAGATTAGATAAAATTGATGAAATTATGAATGAATTGATTGATCACCACCAATATCATCCAATTGATCAGTGATAATTAATCATTGTGTTGCTTTTGGCTTGTTGAAAAACTACAGATATGATAAATTTGATATAGTGAGAATGATAAAAGTAAAGACACAAGAATATGAAATGGAACAATAAAAACAAATTTAACTGTATTCCCTTTCTACTTTTCTATATTCTAATTGACAAAGCTTTAGTAATAAAGACTTTCACTTATATTTTTTAAGTATTTCTTCATTTTTATTGTTGACACACTGTTAAATTTCATGAACTTATCAGCCAATTGATCAGTGATAATTGTTGGATCAAATATTACTGTCAGAAAGTGAAATTCAATTATAAAATAGGAAAGTTCCTAATAATTGATTTTAAATGTCTAAATTTAGAAAAGTAAGCTTACATTATCCATATTTATATAAACTTTATATATTTACAATTACTATAGCAGAATAATAATAATAATATTTATAAATTATTATTTTTTGTTATTGATTCATGTAAAAAGGCAGTACATTTAAGACAGTAAAAAGTTTATTATTGTGTGCCAAATGTCTTTGTTTTTCATATTTAAATTTCTGGAATATTTACCACATTATAAATTTTGGCATGATAGCAATATGCGAATCTGCTGATGCAATAGTTTAAACATCTGTCAGCCAATAGATTCAATCTATTTATAATTTCTACACGTTGCAAAGTCAGTCTTCCATGCAAATTTTATGTTTTCAAAACTATTCTTTTCTACAAGAAATAGTCTTTTGATATAATTAAAAAGCTGAATTGATTATAAACTTTAAGGAAGACTGTTTAAAATAAATAAATATATTAAAATTACTTTTTATTCCATCATTTAATTATAATTAAATACTGTTTAGAGAGAAGAAGCTGGAGTTTTTTTCCTAGAACCAGAGAAAACTTAGGGGCCCAAAGTGTTCCCACCACTATAAAATTAACATTATTTTTACTAACAGAAAATAATCTTAAGAATGACTTTTATTCTATGTAAAAAAAAATACTACGAGATACAGTACTACTGCATGATTACAAAATCAGCATGCATTTGTTAAATTTTCTAAAATATTTATTTCATAACTTATTTTCAGTTATATCATTTGCCATGAGAAGAAATATGTGGCCCACTGGTAGCCTACAAAGTTCCTTGTGGTCCATGTTCAGAAAAGGTTTCTCATCACTAATTTAAGGCACATGGGAAGGTGTGTGTAGGGATTTGAGCACTTGTAAATTTTAATATTTGCAAATGGTCCTAGAATCAATCCCTGTGGATATCAAGAGCTGATTACTAAATCTTGTAATGTTATTTCCATTTACCAGGATCAAAGAAACTTAGATTGCATGTCATTATGTTGACAACATGACCTAAGATTATGGTAAAAATGTTATAGCCTAGGCAGAGAAAAATTTTTAAGCCACGGTCACATCTTTATAACAATGTTGTGGATGGCATTTTGCTCTGCATCTCTGCCATCATGGGTGTGTGCTGCTGTTTGTAGTCATTTGGGAATGATGGTAAAAGAAAGAAAATGATAGCAGTGTCCATACTATCAATTGTATTGTGATGAAAGGATCTATGATTTTAAACTATGCATTTTTAGAGACAAACGTTAAAAGGGACCAAATTGTAAAATTTAACCATAAAATGGATTGTCCTGCCAGCAGAGCATTCAAAGTAGCCACAAAAAAAAAAAAAAAATTAGAATGCCAGCTAACATTAAAAAAAAATTCAAGATGACACTTACATCACCTTGTGCACTAACATGCACTTTCACAACTTCTAAAGTTTTATTCATAAACACACAATGTTGTTTTCCACAGTAAACTAACTACTACAAGCCATTTTTGCCATCCGACTGCACGTACTCTGGCAGCAATATAGGAACGTGTTCCACAAGAATTTTTAAATGGATGCCGAACATGTGGAGTTACACAGAGAAATAAAAGAACACGCCCTTTATCTAGTGAACATGGAGTTGGCTGTAGCTGCTTAAATGTATCCTTATCTGTATTAACCCAAGGCACACTTCATGCTGTGTCATCCTTTTATGGTTCATTGAAAAATCAATAAGAAACAATCAGTGGCAAACCATTTTCTGAACCTTTGAGTGATGTTAAATGTCATGCTGCAAGTATTCTGCTATGCCCAAGCTGGTTTACAATGTTGTTACATAGATGTGGACATAGTTTTAAATCCACCTCTGATTGTTGTAGATGAATCAGTAAGAAGTTTCTGATCACTTTTTCAACGAAAGAGATTTAATATAAAATTTTAAACACAAAATGAACTATGAATGACAATAGTCTTCCACACAAAAAATGCATCAAAGATAGGTACAACTAATGCAATGTTAACTTTAGAAAATTAGTATTGGAAAGTTTCTTCTATATTCATTTTCCCAAATAAGAATTCCACCACAACACACATTAAGAACTGTATTCAAACTGACTCAATACTGAACAATGTGAAGTATTTTTCTTCAAGAATCAATATTAAAAACATAATTATGTAAATATTTAAATAATAATGACCATACAAACAATTTTGTATCTATTTAAGTCTTTTATCTTTTTTAAAATTCCAGCCAGAGACAGATGGGAAACAGCTTGAAGATAAAATACAATTCATTAAAATAACCAATGATATGACATTAAAAGCACATACTAAATACGCTTGATGCGGCTGTGTATAGTTGATAAGGATCCTACAATAAAAAGTTGGTGTCAAGTGTATTCAGTATGTGTTTTTAAAGTCATATCAATTATTTTAATGAAGAATTGTATTTTATTTTCAAGCTGTTTCCCATCTGTCTCTGGCTGGAATTTTAAAAAGAATAAAAGATTTAAATAGACCAAAATTGTTTGTATGGTCATTATTATTTATTTTATTACCTTATTATTAAATTANAAAGGTTTCACACACATTGAAAACTGCATAAGTTTTATGTTGCTTAAATATGATGTATTTTTAATATATATATATGTTTGTTTCAAAGGATAATTAAAGCCAAACAGATTTTGCTTATAAAAAAGATATTCAGAATATAAGTTTTTATTTCCTCAAAGCTTTCACTCTATACTATGTATTTCAAATTGGTGTTTAACAAATGGTTTTATTTAATTGTAAGTCAAAGTATCGTAAGTGTATATTTACAAACCTATAAATCTGCATAAATCAAACATTATAATTTTCTTATGTTTTTTGGAGACACATTCTACTGTCAATATACAATGACAATGAAACTGGAAAAATTCTGAGTAAGTTTAAAAAATTAATAATCGTTTTTAACAATAAATAATAATTTAAAAAAGTAAATAATGATTTATACAATTGTCTATTTCCTTTCTTCTTACAATAGAAAAAAAAACCTAATCTTAATTTGAAAGAAGAGCTAATCAATATAGCAAAATGAATACCAAAAAATATTAACTATAAAACATTAAATTTAAATATAGCTAAAAAAAGAAAAAAGAGAGAAAGAGATCCTGTTTCCATATTATGAAGGCATGTAGAATGTTGTAGTGAAACAGCTAACAATGGAACATTCTACATGCCTTCATAATGCGGAAACAAGTAAACAATACAACAGGATCTAAATGATACAAAATTTTCTACATTTTCCACAGAATTTCACAATTATTTCACAATTAAAATTAATTTGTGCAAAATAAATGTAATTGTATAAAAAGACTTCATTATTTCAAAACTCAAATTTATGTATTTCAATAAACAAAAAAATCTCACAAGTCAGATAGAAATACCATATATGCATGACCTGCCAGAATCCTCAGGAAATAATTTAAATTTTAAAATTAAATGCTAGTTAATATAAATTAAGGTTTAAATTGAGTCATAGATTAGGTCTAATAGTCATTTCTAAGCTATTTTTTCATGTAACAGGTCTCAATATACAGTTAATTGGCATACTAGGTGATAACAGTTACAGCAATTCAGTTGAAGCTGGCATTTTCATTTGGAAACAACAGATCAATTTGAACAATCATTATCAATTTTAACCACTGCTATAAATTTTAAACATTGATTTTTTAAATCAATGTTTAAAATTTATAGCAGTGGCATTATTTGCTCACATGACAGTAGTTTATTGTAAATTGCTGACATTTGTTGCTTCAATTACTGGTGTATGTTGGATGAATTAATTAATAATAATGATTACAATTAATAAAAATTGAATTTATATATATTTATTAATTGTTTAACATTTCCTTTCCATGATTAATGTCAGAGTCAATAAAAACTGAATTTTCACTAACTGTAATGTTATTTAGATATTTCAAATAAGCAGAATATATTTATCATTCTATTCAAATGCAACTGTTGTTTCATTTGTAAGTTTTTCCTAAAGCCCTCGTCACACCATGCAATTTCCAGCCGCACAGGCAACTGCTGTTCCCGTTTAACTAGTAAACCCCCTTTGAAAACCAGCGCAACTGCAACCACAACTAGAAACAAAAAGTTTGTTTTACTCGCGCCGATTGCAAATGCACATCCAATCAGCAAATGCCTTTGTGCCACGTCACATGGTGACAACATTGAAAATAGTTCATCCTCATGGCGGATAAAGTTAGAGGATTTATACTTTTACAGAATCGAAACTGATTGAGCTTATTCAGTCTCACGAATACCTGTAGGATTTTAATTCTTCGTTTTATCAAAGATTTTATCTTTTTGTATATTCTTGCCAATTCTATCAAAATAATTGTCTTTTTTTCTTTTATTCATTCCAGAAAAGGAACTGATTTCTTTAACTGGCCCATTAAGCTCTTTATTCATTTGATCACAAAATTTAAATCTTTCTTTGAATGAATGTATAATGTAAAATAACTAAAGCATAGATTTTGTAATATCAATTTTCTGTTTCTGTATTAAAAACAAAAAATTATGTAGACTTAATATAAAAAATAACTCTGCCAGATATTGGGTGACAATTTTCAACAACTATAGAGTAAGCTATTCGATCTGATCTTTAACTGGTCTCATGCTTTATGTCACAAACTATCTAATTTGTGACGTAAAGCATGCATGTACAAAATAACCTATTTTATGTCTTTTTTCCTATATCAATGATTTATTTTGTACACAATTCAAGTCTGCGTTAAATATATTCAATATGGAGAATACTTGAGATAAGCATGCATATTGATCTCTTAATTTCCATTTATTTTAGTGGAAATGTGAAGCTTCATTCCTCTCTGCTAAACTGACCACACTTTGATCAGACCTCCTCATAACAAATTAAAACAGCCTTACAGCTCATACTGTCACTGTCTCATCACTTAACTAATATGCAGTTTTATTATAAAACTGACTGTTATTATTCTACATTAAGCAACAGAATTATATTTAATTACAGAAAAAAATAATACCAGTAGTTAACATAAGGCACTAGCAAATTTTGGCTTTAAATCTAGCCATAAATACATATATTACATGCGGGCTCAACCTACAATGAGTTAGCCAGTCGGAGTGCAAAACAGAAATGACGCCCTGATCCATACTACCCGTTCTAAATTATGCCAATACAAATCATTGGCAAATTCCGAATTTCCATCAACACCTTACACACAGTTATCAGATGACAACTATATTTCAGAAAAATTATTTGCAGTACACAAATTATACAAAATACAGGATGGGCATAAAATCTGGACACAGGCAAATATATTTATTTTTAATGAATGAATCTTCAACATGGTTTCCACGGTAAGAAGCGAACTCTGAACAAGGGATTTGCCACCCCCAGAGTTACAAATCCCCTACATAAGCAAAAAAGTCAAGGAAGCCATACCCATACATGTGACCCCTTGTGTGATATTTACCTCGAAAGGTCCACCAGTATAGTGCCTATTCTCTGGGCTCCACATCAGTCGAGACAAGCGGCAAGCCTCGATCGATGCTCTGCACACAGTTGCACGCTTCAGCAGAGCGACGGCAAGCATCTCGGCCCCTACACCCACTAAAACTATATAACATCAAGTACTCCATAAACAGTCAAGCGAGCTACTTAAAGCAGGCATAATTGTGTGGACTAAATAGTTAAATGTGATAGTCTTAGCAGAGCAATGCACGATCCGAATATAAGCCGATTTTGAGGGAGGCCTTATCCCAAGAAGAGTCACACGTGGAAATATGAGACTTTTTTGCTCCAACGAGTTTGGTCTACAGCTCCGATAAGGTTCCAATCGTCTCATTCGGGAGCGTAATCGTACCATTTCCATCGCCGACAACTCACATTTCAACACACCATAAAACCAACCCAAACACAATGCAGTATCATCATCAATCATAGTACACTCATTAATACGTCACTTTGGATGATTAATATCAGAATTTTTACAGAATAATCCCTCTCTTTAGCTTACACTAGATTTTAATCCCTTTAATTAGAAGTAATTAAAGGGATTAAAATCAGTTAAGTAAGAGATCCATTTCACATTCCTTCAATCCCATTTGAGAAATTTCGTTCAATCCACTTCTTACCACTGCAAGATAATGTGCCGAATACTTGCCTGTGTTTAGACTTATGCCAATTCCGCAGAATGTATGTAACTTAATTTTAATTAACAAATATTTATTACTTAATATTGCTTCCAGTTTATATTGTTTATATTAATCACGTGACTAGCGGAATTCGATAAATACGGAGATTTAAAAAGAAAACAGACGATAGTTACCACAGCAGAAAGCTGAATCCAAGTAAAATAACTTTAAAATTATAGTTTAGCCTTTACCAATTTAAAATATCTCACCCTAAATCCTCTAAACAATCCAAAATATCGTTTTCCATCGCAATCAGTTCTTATTTTTTTATTTTCTTGAATGAAGAGAAGGATGGAATCCCTAAAAACGCCAAACGATATCTGACAACCTGGAAGAACACGTGATAACGTAATTGCGAACTTTGGACGATAGAGGGCGAATAGAAAAATTCTTTTAATTAAAATATAAAATGTCGGATTATTATTTCAGTCTTTTTTTTTAACCAGATCTAGTCTTTTATTTTTCAATTTAATTTATTTTCTACTGTGTTAAAATAATTCATTTTTTTTTCACGTTCCGCAATTTTACCGACCGTAATATAATTATCAATTTGTACAGTAACTTATAAACAGATTGCAATAATAAATTTGAGCGTACCGTAATCGGTGATTATAATATAATTTTACCATTTTATATCATTTTTTACTTTGGTACAAATTCCACAAGAAATATATTTTAATTGGAGAGATGCCGGCGAGCTTCCTCGGTAGCCATTCAAATCGACAAATGGCCGAAACGTATCTTGCCGAGTTATGACTCGAACGAAATTATGCACCAGAACTAATAAAATAGCATGTTGTGGCAGAGACGAAATTTTGAAGTTTGGCCTAGAACGGGAGATTTCAAAGATTATCGTTTACCCGACGTTCGAAATACGGCGAAGCTCTTGCCAGATTTTTAAAAATACAATACCTATGTTTTTTCTTACTTCTTTGGAAAATTTGACCATGAATATTTTAACGTATTGTACCTTGCACAGAAATTCTTTTCAAAAAAAAAGAAAGAAAAGAAAATCAATAACGACAATATATTCAGTTTTGGATTCCCATTATAAGTCTATGGAAAAAATTTCAATTAAGCAGCAAAGCATCTCATAATGGAGTGTGTAAGGTTACATATTTCGGTCACTTACGATTATAATTTGTAGAATTTTTTTACTCGATTTCAAGGGAGGGAAAATACCCCGATTGTCCCTTCTGCGGACGCTCAAGCTCTTATTATCGGAATTTTTCGTAAGTAGAGTGCGTGGACATGTCGGGTTCCGTCCCTCTCCATCCACTTACCTCACTGCGTAGAGTACAGTCTTGATCAAGCCTGTCGTGCATGTGAAAAAAACCTCCTTAGTAACCACAGGGTGGGAAAAGTTTTGAAAAGAAGCGGTCATTACTCAATTAAATAATGAAGTTTAAAACTTCTGAGCAAATATTTCCGACCATCTCTGACCATTCTGGACATTTTCATAATTTTTTGACTCCTTTTTCTAAACTCTTTCCAGCAGTGTGCACTAAGAGGGTCTTTTCTAGAAAGTCTATTATGAGTTCGGCCAGGCCGACAATGTGGTGACCAGGTGGCCAGAGACGGGGCCTAACATATCCGAAATGAACTAATTCCCAAAATATGCCTGGGGTTTTTTGACCCGTTCGGGTTCCCCGAGAGCGATGGACTGCCACCTTAATAAAAGATTAGAAGATTGAATTATTAAATGATATTTTGTGACAGGAGCAAGCAGGTTTTCGACCCGGCCGATTTTGCCAGGATGAAATACTGTATAGGCTAAATGGTCCATGGAAAATTTTTCTTAAAAGGGGTCAATACACAAAAACAGTTGGAAACCCCCATCAATCCAATCCCTTTGTCACCTCTATTATCATTTTTGTTTAATGTGGTACTAATGAATTGTAATTTCATTAAAAAAATGTTTGCTGCTGACTACTTAATCCATTTCAATTCATTGAGAAGGCTGCTTCTGTGTTACTATTGATATTTCTTCCTTCCCGCCCATTCTGCGGTTGACATCATTAACTAGGTGTGATATTAAAGCTTACAAGTCCTCTCTCTTGTAGGTCCTCAGTGGAAACGCTAGAGTTTTTTTCGCACAGCATTTTTAGGTATTTTCCAATATTTATTGTGTTGTTTTTGGTTTAGGTTTATTGTGTTGTTTTTGGTTAAGGTTTTTTAGCGTTCTGTGCTTATACAGCCTAGAAATTCTGAAATCCTTTTCAATTCTTCAGATATTCCAACTTCAATTTACAAAATTTTGTCCTAATTTTAGATAGTTTGGGACTCCAGATAATGCACATAACTATCAATGAGATGACAAAAAAATGTTTCATTAGACTTCACAAGGAGAATCCATTTATCATTCATATAATGAACTCTGTTGATTTATTTGAAGTTATAAACTAGACATTTTCACTGATTCACGAATATGAGATTTTTTAGCATATTTTTACTCCTCCAGCCATGTGTACGGAGATGGACTTAAGCCCATTATAGGTTCAGTCTGATGGCGAGGAATGGGACTGATATATTCAAGATGGACCATACCCTGAAAAAGTTTTTTGACCCGTCTGGATTTGATCCTAGGTTCCGCAAAGGGGTAGGCTGTCGCCTTAAAAACAGCTCAGCCATGATGGATAGGATTAATTAAAAGGTTAATTTAGTATCCACAGGGTAGAGTAAAAAATGAGAAATAAAAACTCTGTAGTGTTGGAGATGAATCATCCACAAAAACTTTCTGTAAATGGGATTGACAAACACAGATAAAAGACGAAGAGCATCCTGCCCGAATTATCTGTGAATGTCAATTACGATCAGATTCAAATCTGGATTCTTGCAACTTTCCAGTTAATTTTAGTAGAGCTTGTTTTCAACCACCCATTTGGCATTTTATTGTATTTTTAATGTATCAACTGTAATAATTAAATCTATCCTCAAATAAGAATGGAGCAATGTGCTCCATTGGCTTTTATTGTCTTGAATGCATATCACTCTGCTGCCATAGCTAAGCAATAAAGCTCTATACAAAGTTGAATGAAAGATTTTGGAAATACAAATATTACATTATATAAACAGGGGTGGGCAAGCAAGAGGTAAGTGGGAGGCGAAATATAGATTTTGCAAAATGCATGAGAGCCGCAGTTGTGTACTTTTTTATTCTGTACTGCAGTTCTGTAACGCAATTTTATTATATAATATAAATATTATATAAAACAAATATTGAATTTTTTTAATAAACATATTTTCACAAAATTGTGGAAATAAAATTGTAAAAATAATAATAAAAAGCAGAAATTAACATTTTAAGCAAGAGCTGCATGTAACTCAAAAAGAGCCACATTTGCCCATGGTGGATATATTACATGGAAAATTTTTGTGTTTTATCTCAAATTTCTTGCAAAAATTTCAAATAGAAAAAGTGTTTAAACTATTATCTAATGTATGTTCTATATACAGTGTGTTTCAGAAACGTTTGGCCAAATTTCAGGCTTATAGAATGGAAAATACAAATAAAGTCGAGGGATGTGTTTCGATCGGAAACTTCAAAGTATTGTGATGTCAGTTTTTCTGTTTTAAAAGGACAAAATTCACAAAAATAGTAGAAATACTAAGTACAGTACAGCCATTTGATTTACATTCTGTCAAAGATAAGCTAACAAAATTAAATTTTAATATGCTTCTGACAAAAAAAACTGCTGCATTGAAATTCAAAACAAAAATTTTTATTGAATAAAGCACTCAACAAAAACATCACTGTATAATATTTATGTTTGAGTTATTTAATATGTATAATTTAAGATTTAATTCATAACAAAATTTTGATAAATATGCATGAACTTTCAGTAAATTACAGTAATAAATAGCCAAAATTTAACTTGAAATCATTATTTTTATAGAATTATGAGTTACAGATAATAATGTATAAGGTATACAAAACAATTTTCTTTTTATGCACATCACATATTAAAAAAATAATAATAAACAAATATACATATAGTTTTCATATCAGATGTTTGACAATAAATTTTCAAATTCAATTTTCTAGGAAAAAAAAATGAAAATGAACAATATACAATGTATTACCCATTAATTTGTAAGTTAATATCTTGAACTGGTTGTTACTCTAATGAATTATAAACTAACAACTGTTTCAACACTTTGGTTTGACTGGTTTCTCGTATCTCGCCAGCAAGGAACATTTCATCGACAACGCTGTAAACCTAAAAATAAAAAAAGTATTTTACTACAGAAACATTAACACTTGTAATGTAAAATTTATCTTTAAATCAAATTTAAAAAAAAAAAAAACATATTTTAAGCTATGTGTTATGCTGACGTGTAAAATGACATCTAAATTTTCATCTCAAAATTCTGAGTTAGACCTGTACTAATTGCATAAGTCGACTGTAAAACATAGGGTAAAAGTATAGATATAATATGTATTAATCTGTAGAAACAAGATATTATTTTTCATTAAAGAATAAAAATACTCCAGAATCTTGGTTATACTATACTGTGGAAATTGCCTACCTTAGTATTCACCCACCAAAATGGTGTAATTTCAGAAAAACAAACGTTTTCAATCTTCTAAGACCTGCTTCAGATCACAAATTTCAAATAGATGGGACGTCTAATGTTTTGATGTTCGAATGTGTCAGGTGAAGAAGAGCTTATACAAAAATTTGAATTTAAAATCCTCTAAAATCAACTAATAGGATATATCAAAGTGTACAAATTTTAAAATGGTTTTCATAATGATGTATCAAATACGGCATGCCATGCTTGTAAAATGCACCTCTTTTCTTTAAAATTTATACATTTTCCTCATGTTTCTGCTTTAAAAGTCTTTAGCACTTCAAGTTAGTCCATGTTTGTCGTTCTAATTAACGTAGCCCGTTATAGATTGGGTTTAACTTTATCCTTTAATATATTGAGAGGGCAATGGTTTGCCTGCCTTTATATTGGCTCTGTGTTCGGTTAAGTGCTTTTTAAGGAACCTCATGGTCCCTTATTTAGATTAACTCTGTCTGGAACCTTTCATCTCAGAGATATCTTATATATATGCCTGGTGGATTGTTGTAGTTGAGTGGGTCTTTTTCATTTCTGAGCATTTTAAACATGTGAGGACTACAGCTGTATGTTAATCTTGTGCCTGCATATGATGCTATTTCCTTATGCATGCAATGATCATCATGGCGAGATTTAGTTTCTTATAGTGCTGGGTTATCTATGGGAGCATCTTTGGATGTGCTGATTGGATGTGTGTTTCTTTTGTTTCTTGTCTATAGGCTAATTTATAGGTCAATCCCTTGGAGTAGCCATGCATAGTAGTGATGTCTGCAATACAACCCATCTCCTCCTTAATTTAATATCAACCATAGTACTGTAATACGCTCTCTTCGTAAGGAGAGAGAAACACATTGAGGACACAATGTGAAAAAAAAAGGGGGAGATACATTGGGGAGATAATGATTACATAGATCATTTACAAGAAAGGATCTGTAGATTCACATGCACACTGCTAGATAAACAACTGAAATTAGAAAAGGAGTTAGTCAAATCACCAGATGTCCCTAGACTGTTTGCTTGTACAAAAATGCATAAACAGAGGTAACAACTAAAACCCATATTAGACAAGATCAGGTCTCCTATCTGCAAGTTGAAGCAAGCAGGTATACTGTTTACTCAACACCCACTTCCAGGGATACCAACTTAATATCACAAACTCAGCACAAATGGTAGGGATGTTAAGCTGATGCACGCTAACAAATAACCCTTGGATTACCATCTTGGATTTCTAAGTCTTTATATCCTTCAATCAGATTGAACCATGTTTCTGTAACCTACAGGATTGGTTGATTCAAGAAGTTCCTATGCAAGAACACCAACAAATTTTGGAGTTACTTCACTTGCTTTGTTACATCTGTTTCCAATTAATAAGTGATGTACACATTAAATGATAATTATTGCAATCTCACACACAGTTATAACAAGAGCTATATTTTAAATTAAAGGGGCAGGAAGCCTCGATTAACTATATATGAACTTCCAATGCAAACCAGAAGTCATGTTATTTCAATTCAAAAACTTTTTCCCTGGAAGGTGTTAGATAGATGACCAGCACAACTGTGTTGTTAAAGAAAAAGTATGATGTTATTAACTATAAACTAACATAAAAATACATGCAATAGAACTACAATTATCTTAGGGAACATGGACCAAGGTAACAAGGGTTCACCTTGGATCCCTAAAAAGTCAAAAATGGATTAAATATTAAAAAATATAAAGATTGATATGATAGCACTTAAACCTCTTTTATACTAGTGAATTTAATCATATATCATAATATATATTATGAAATTAAGATTAATTATAATTGATATATTCCACACTATTTGGCTTGATTAATATTTACTTAGAAAAATCATCATTATAAAACTCACAATGCATTATAAATATAAAATGCATAGTCATGCCAACATAATCAATTCTAAAATTATAGAAAATAGAAAATTTAAAAACAGCTTCAAGACTATAAAACACATGCAAAATTCCAAATTAAATTACATTTTTTCTAAAAGCACTTTTGTATCATCCAGATAAATAGTAAAACTTTATTGACAGACCAAACACAATTTTAGCATATTATAATTATATATATCGTAAAGTCTTTGCAAATCTGCACTTAAAATGTAAATTTTAATATTGGCAGTAGACTATCACACAGCTTTAGCCAATGATTTCACTTTATTCTATTACTATAGATGCATTTCGGTCCTTTTCTAAAAAAGGTCCCTCTTCAGTACTATAAAATACAAAAGTTTACATAAACTTTTTGTGCAAGTAAATATTTAACATAACAATAAATATTTTAGTATTACAATACCATTTGAGTACACAGTTTTATTTATACATCCCTTCAGCACTTTCATCTTGAGTGCACTAAATTATTTTTATTTATGTCTTGCTGTAACAAATTTTACACTATATTAGATCTAACAATTATGCTTAATAAAACTTTTAAAAATCTACAAAAATCTCAAAAAA